GCAGCCACACAATAGTATTACAAAGCTTGTGGGAATTTTAGTAGCACTTTCATAAATATATTATGTATTACATGTAGAAATATGACCTAAACAGCCCTGGAGAGCTTTTAAAACACACATGCTGGGGTTCTACCTGCAGCCTGCTGAATTGGAATCTCTGGATGGGATGACCATCTATATTTTTAATGAAAACACCACAGGTTAATTCTGACGCACAGAAGGTAGAAGAATCATTACTTTAATATGACTCACCTTGTATTAGCTTAGTCCCAAAGGTGCTTTCTCATTCTTGAAATTAGATGATGGCCTTTTAGGTACATGCCAGAGATAAACGGCCCAGACATGTTGATTCTTTTAGGTTGTTTTAGGTAGACTTTAAGTAGAGGGCTTAAATGCAGGTTTGGTTATGCTGATGCTTCACTCTTTTTTAATTGGAAAGAGTGAAAATTGCTAAAAACTCACTGTTCAATAGAAATTTATGAGCCCATATGTAATATAAACTTTTCTATTAACCACATTAAAAAGATGAAATGGTGAAATAAATTTTAATAATTATTTTTAGTACATCTATTTTAATCCAATATATCTAAGATACTATCAGTATAAACTTTGCCTAAAAATTGTTATTGAGGCCAGGCACAGTGGCTCCCACCTGTAATCCTAGCACTTTGGGAGGCTGGTCGCAGTGACTCAGGCCTGTGATTCCAGCATTTTGAGTGGCGGAGGTGGGTGGATTGCTTGAGCCCAGAGGTTCAAGACCAGCCTGGACAACACAGTGAAACCCCATCTCTACTAAAAATACAAAAAAATAGGCAGGCATAGTGGTATGTGTCTGTAGTTCCTGCTGCTAGGGAGGCTGAGGTGGGAGGATCACTTGAACCTGGGAGGTGGGGGCTGCAGTGAGCCGAGATTGTGCCATTGCACTCCAACCTGGGTGACACAGACTGTGTCTCAAAAACAAAATTATTAATGAGATATTTCATATTTGGAAGTCTTTGAAATCTATGTGCATTTAACACATACAGCACGTTTGAATTCAGACTTACCACACTTTAAGTGCTTGGTAAGCACACGTGGCTACTGTTTGAATAGTGCAGATTTTGAAGCTCTGATCTTGGATTGAGTTGGAGGTTTTTTCTTCCTGTGTATGCCATTCACCACCCCAAATTTTTCAAGTTGCAAGAGGCCTCTTAGAAGAAAGAAAAGAAAAGCATTTTTTGGAAATACGGTTGTAGATGTTGATTACTATAGTTTCTTGAACATCATTTTAACAATTGTGTTTAACTTTTTAATCCTGGATTAGAAATAACTGGATTTTTAATCCTGGATTAGAAATAACTGGATTTTCTCCATCCTGAGAAATGAGATCCTAAGGAAGTAACAGAGTAAATGGTATGGTAAGGTAGAGGTAGTGTTGCTTCCAGAGTCCTGTCCTTCGAGGCCTGGCAAATGAGCATGGATATATTCTAAAGCTGACTTTTCCTAGGCTGCTGGAGAAATGGCAAGAATGGAATCTTTTAGTGCAATCATCAACAAGTTAGAATATCAGAGACTTGGGTGCCCTGGTAAAATGTAATGTTCTGTATAAAAACAAAACATACAAAAACACACAGCCTTTGTGATGGCTGCTGTATAGCCATACTTGGAGTTTAAATCTTACTGTAGCAATTCTCAAATCTTAATAGCTGCTTTGCCATGTGTAAAATTAGTTTGCAGTTTGCAAGAATATGAGAGGCTAGAATAGTGTATTATTGTCATATCATAAGGGTTTTATAATTTGCCAGGTTATTTTATTTATCTTTTTGCTTCAGTACAATCATATACTAGTGGCATATATTATTATTTCTCAGCTGGCTGCGGTATCTCGTGCCTAAAATTCCAGCACTTTGGGAGGCCAAGGTGGAAGATTGCTTGAGGCCACCAGCCTGAGCAACATAGTGAGATCCCATTTCTACAAATAATAATAATAATAAACAATTTAGCCAGTTACGGTGATGCACACCTGTAGTCCCAGCTACTCAGGAGGCTGACGCAGGGGGTTCCTTGCACTCGGGGTTAAGACTGCACAGTGAGCTGTGATGTCGTCACTGTACTCCAGCCTGGATGACAGAGTGAGACCGTCTTTCAAAAAATAAGTTTTTTGTCCTAGAGATGAGGCTGAAGTTCCCAATGTAGATGATTTTTGCTTGAATTAATAGCACTAGTAGATGAGCAGGGACTTCTTTGGTCCCTTGGCTATTGTCCATGACTCATGATAGCCAGTCAGTGTTATGTCAGAAAGCCATCATATTAAAGTTTAGCGTAATAGAAACAACTGATCACTCTCTTGAAGTCCGGAGCTCTTAAAACAGATGGTCTGTTTTCCTGTAGTAATGGTCATGCCATGACTTCCCACTCATAGCTCCCACTCACTGCCCCCTACCCTACCCTAGCATCCAGTTGTCAAAATTCAGAGTTGTAAAGGGAGCAAGTTCATGAAAATTGAAAGTTAACATTAAAAAGAGGTGACAATTATAAAAGTTTTCTGACACATCAATATATGGTCTTTTGAATTGTTGAGAAGAATAACAATTACTATCAGATGTGGCTTTTGGAGCAAATAAACAGTTTGGGAATGATGAGATTCTGCATTTCTTGACTTTTAGGCTTGAGTTTACAGTTAAATTTAGTTGCCTTAGGTGTTATTTTCACTGAATTATTTCAATGAATGTATCTTGCATAGTCTTTTGAAATGTTGACTGCATTCCTATTTCTGTAAGATTGAAGATAACAGTAACAGAGGAATAAAGAAATCTTTTAGCTTCATAGTACCTGCTGTTTTAGGCCAATGTGAAATTTTGCTTTTCTTATAGTTTTTATGACTACTCTTTCATAGAGACAGATAAATATGCCTTGATATGTCTTTCTCAGGTGTATGAAATGTTATTTTAAAAATCCTGAATGGTAAGTTTTTCAGAGTGGTTTAATAAAATAAGGCTAATCAAAATGGTGAATATATTACTTGGAGTTCTGGATCTCTTTGTAATGTAATTAAGTTACCAAGTAACATTGAACTTAGCATTTTATTTTAGTAAAGACAGCAGTAGAATCTTAAAACAGTAGTTATCTATATAAATTCAGCCTTGACCTTCTTCATCCTATTTTAAGTGGGTTCAAATGAACATAAAACTTGCCCTTTATTTGCTTGAATTTCAGAACAGCTACTTGATACTATTTTAATTTGAAGGAAGAAAACCTAAAAAAAGAAAAAAACCCAATACTTTCCAGTCTAGTCTTTTTTTTTTTTTATAGCTAGAATATCACAATTCAGTTTAATTATGAGCCAAATTGGTATAATGATGAATAAGATAGTCTCCCCTTGACAAGTGGGGAGACAAAGACATAAAACAGGTAATTTTAACATAATTGGTATGTATAAAGATGTGCTATACTAGTAGCTTAGAAGAAATTCACTTAACCTCACCTTCAGGAGAGGCTTATTAAAGTGAATCACAGCAGATAAGTAAGAGTGAGCTAGATCAGTGTTTTCCAACTGGGTAGTTACCCCTTAGTGGGCCATAAAGTCAATTTAGTGGTTATGACCAGTATTTAAAAAAAAGAGACGAGAGAATAGAATAGATTGCATGGTAGCCATACAAGTTTCAGTGACTGCTATGTGAGTGTCTTAGTGTGGGTTATGGGCCAAGAAGTGTCACAGCCAGCCACTGAACTAGATGAGTAAGTTAGGGAGGTGTTTCACTAAAGTTACTCACACAAGCATAATTATGGAGGAAAGCTACAGGGACAGTTTGGTGCAAAGTGTGATACAGGGTTTAGCAAGAGGTGAGACAAATATGTTATTATGGAAGCCTTTGGATATAGCACTGAGGAGTTTGGGTACCGTGTTGTGAGTAGTTGTTAGGAGCAGTTAATACATAGCATAATTAACCTGGTGTTTTAGATCCCTAAGTCTGGATGGTGGAGGCTGGATTTAAGGGAGGTGATGTGGTTCTGGAAGTGAGCCTTGATGGAAAATGTGGCATTAAGGGAATATGAACACTTCGCCTTGGGGAAAGCTCGTGGAAAAGATATCCTTAATTAAGGCCAGAGGGTAGAGGGAGGGAGCATTTGTTATTTTTAAGCATTTTAAGGAGCCTACAGAGAGTGAGACTGAAAGATTTGGGAAGAGTAGGTAGAAGAGGAGTGTGGACAGGACAGAGACGTTGAGGTAGGGATGGAGGATTATGTTTTTAGTTGTGATTAGGGGTGTCAGAATTCTGATGTATGATGAATTTAGGTGAATGCTCATGTCACTGTCCTCTAGCCAAAGGCCAACAGGGAGACAAGTTGGGTTGTTAGTCTTGGCAGTGAGGAGCAACATGCTGAGTGAGGAGTAGCATATGTATACTCAGTAAGAGGACTGTAGAAAGGATTTCTTACAGGAGTTGGGCTTGTATTGGGTCCTTTTGGAGAGGGTTTAAGGTAGTAGAGCTTTGCAGTGGGTTAGATGCTCTCAGAAAGCAGAAGTAATTCTGTGATTGGTGTCTTAATAATGCTTTCCTAGAAGTTGAGTACAGTGTGAGACTAAAACTAATTGGTAAGACAGAATCACTCTTATCAACTATTGTAGGGTGTATCATGGACAGTGTTCATGTATTGTATATGTTTAGGTGATTACAGAGTTGTCTTGATGATCCATCATGGTCACAGAATGGGCTTGTCTGATACTGATTTTCTGTGAAATTGTTTCTGTTCCACAGAACCCCAGCATCTAATTTTGTGGGAGGCCAGCTCCTGGATGTCATTTTCACTAGGTTGCATATGGTGTCCTTTGGGCATATAGATAAACTCATAGTGGACTTTGTCTTCTCCGTTACACGTAGAGGAGCCAGCTATGTAGTTGCTTATAGTCAGTCGTTCCAGTGTTCAAATGGTTCTACCTAGAGCACAGATAGGAGTTGATTTTAGAATAATTTTTGAAGGATTCTTATTTATAAACATTTATCATAAGTGGTATGATAGACCAATGTTGTCTGATAGTTCCATAGTTTCATGCATGAATATTCTGCCTCCGCATCTATCTGGGAACAGAGAAATAAAAGAACATGTTGCCGTTTCTAAAATATGCACATAACTGGGGAAAAAAGCAGAATTGTTTGATTTACATATTTTTTTTTTTTTTGAGATAAGGTCTTGCTCTGTCACCCAGGTGGAAGTATAGTGGCACGATCTTAGCTTTCTGCAGTCTTGAACTCCTGGGCTCAAGCCATTCTCCCACCTCAGCCTCCCAAGTAGCTGGGACTGCTGCCACTAGTGTGCACCACTGAACCTGGCTCTTCTTATTTTTTGTAGAGACAGGGTCTCGCTGTTTGCTCAGGCTGGTCTTGATCTCCTGGGCTCAAGTGGTCCTTTCGCCTCAGCTTCCCAAAGTATTGTGAGCCACTGCACCTGGCCTGCTTTAGGCTTTAGTAGTAGTTCAAATTTATATTGATCACTTTTGAGGCATCTTGGAATTCTGAATTATCTTCTGAATAAGCAAAGAAAAACTCTGTAAAAGTTCCTTGTTTCCTGTGGTCCTCAGAGACATTCTCCTGCAAGCAAGTCTTTTTACTTCTTCGGGCCTTGTTCTCATTTTTCATATGAAAAACCTCAGTTAACTGAATCTCTGCTGTTCTAACTAGATGGAAAAGCCTTGTACTTTTGTGGTTCTCAAAATAAACATTGAAATAAAGATCTTTTGAATAAAGATCTTTTTTCTCTCATTTCAGAATTATTTGTCAAAGAGAATCATGAATTAAGAATAGCAGGAGGAGCAGTGAGGGATTTATTAAATGGAGTAAAGCCTCAGGATGTAGATTTTGCCACCACTGCTACCCCTATTCAAATGAAGGAGATGTTTCAGTCGGCTGGGATTCGGATGATAAACAACAGAGGAGAAAAGCACGGAACAATTACTGCCAGGGTGAGTGAAAAGTTTGGCAGTTAATTACATTGCTTTTTTGGTAATTTTTAAAAATTTAATAATTTTCTCTAGTTAAAAGCAAATAACAAAAACTCTAATAAAAAACATTAGTCTTCTCTACCCCTGTCTTAAAACCTGCAGTCCTCTGTTCTTGCAGCCGTGTTTAATTTTTATGTTACCTCTCTATTTCTAAAAAGACCTTTGCATGCTACAGTATTTACTTTTACTATGCCAGTTTTAAGATGTGTTATGTATTGACTTCCCATGAGGGAAGATGATTTAGCTTTCTTACCACACCCTTCTCAACAACAGGCATGTAAAATTCTCCTTCTCCCATCTTCCTAGTATATTTATATAATAATTTTTGGTTAAGTCAATATTCAGGGTTTACATTTATGACTCTCTATTGTTTACAGCCAGATTGTGAAGTAAATTATGATTACATTTATTCTGTTGGCATTTTTTTTAATTTTCCTGCAGTTAATAGCATTTTTCTTTTACATAGCTTTCCATGTACTACTAATTTATTCCTGTGCTCTGGGCCAGAGCTGTAGAGTTCCTCTCAAAAGATTTAAAACATAGCACATCAAGTTTCAGTTGGGTTTTTGGGAGACATCTTATCTGGTGCTGTCTTCCTGCTCCAATATATACTTTTAGGGATTTCCTTGGCTCTCTTTTTATTTAGACCTCCTGTTTCCTGGGTCCCATGTGCTGTTCTTTCTTGGTTTAAGCCGTCATTTTAATAATCCAAAACCTGAGGAAGCCCTACACATCTGAAAATATTTTTGTTTTACCTCCACACTGGTTTGATAGTTTTGGTTATAGAATTCTAGGCTGGGAATATTTTAGTGCAGAATTTAAAGGCATTGTTTTCTAGCTTCAAGTACCGCCACTAAGTCTAGTTCCATTTAGATTTCTCTTTTGTTTAAAACCTGATTATCATATTTCCTTTTGGAAGTCTTTCTGATCTTTTTATGCCTAATGTTTTTAATTTCAAGATGATATAACTTGTTTTGGGTTTTTCACTTACCATGCAAGGCACTTAGTGCCCTCTTATGTTTCTTTCATAATTTCATCCCTTTTGTTAAATGTTTTCTCCTTTGGAAACTCCTATTATTTGGATGCTGGACTGCTGGGACTGATCTTCTAGTTTTATCTTTTGCCTTTTTTTGTTTATATGTTCTCCTGTCTTTCACTTTCTATGAGAGTGCCTTAACTTGATCTCCCAATTATTGTATGATATTGGCAACTTCTATGGTCTTGTAGAATTTCAAGAAGTCTTAGTGTATTTCTTTGGAAAGCTTCCTATTCATGTTTAAGATGCAAGATCTTTTATTTCTCTTAGGATATCTATTGTAGTTATTTTGACAATGTCTTTGTTTCCTCCGAGCTTTTTCTTTCATGTTGGCTTTCCTTAAATGTGGGTATTCTTTGGCTCTGCCTTTATATTTTATTTGGGTGATGCTCTATAATTAAGGACTTTTTTATAATTTTGCATGGGACGTGTCATCCAATTGGGACTCCCAATGTAAGTCTCAGTAGGAGTTTTCATTAGGAGAAATCAGAGAAGAACATTCCAGTATTATGCCAGAGAAGGAGTCTGATTGTTAGCATCTTGAAACCAAGTAGGAAAGGCATGAGGGTGATGTTAAGTTTCACTTTAATCTTGTTTTCATCTTGATGCTTCATTTCCATGAACATCTGTGCCTGGTGCAACAAGTTCTGATTACTTTTGGTTCAGCCTTTCAAGAGAGTCAATCCCTGGTTTTCTGTCTCTAAGGGAGTCATTCTAGGTGGGTCTGATTATTTATTATGAGTTTCAAATAGTTTTCCTATTTCAAAACTTATTTTATTCTTTGCCTTCAGAGATACTTGTGCCTCAAATTCTTGAGTTCTGGAATTCTATAGTGAGAGAGAGATGTAGCTTGTATCTAGAGAAGAGTATCTATGAAATTGAGAGAAATCCTAGAAAAGACTGCTGGTGATCATTAATGGCTGTCACTTCCTAAATTCCTAACCTCTGCTTGGCACATCAAATACTATACTCTCTACTCCTAAATGCTAATATGCTGTCTGTCAGGTATACTTTTACATATATTCCTCTTTCTCCATGGTGCCTGTGGTCTTTTCTCTGCATTTGGAATTTTCTTATCACACCTGCATGTACAGACCCTGCCGCTTTTTCAAGGCTTGGCAGAGATACCACCCTATCATGAAACTACTCAGCTTCCCCAGCGGGAGGTAGTCTGTCTTCCTACAATAGAGGTAACTCTTTATTTTAATTTCTTTCTTTTGTGAGACAGGGTTCTCACTCTTTTGCCCAGCTGGAGTGCACAGTGTGATCTCATTTTACTGCAGCCTCTGTCTCGCGGGCTCTAGCGATCTCCCACCTCAGCCTCCTGGGTAGCTAGGACCACAAGTGTGCACCATCACACCTGGCTTTCTTTTTTTTTTTTGTATTTTTGGGAGAGATGGGATTTTACCATTTTACCCAGACTGGTCTTGAACTCTTGGGCTCAAGTGATCTGCCTGCCTTGGCCTCCCAAAGTGGTGGGAATACAGGCATGAGCCACCACCCCGGCCTTTGTTTTAGTTTTATTGGAGATTACCAGTAGGGGACTTGCAGGATCTGTTAGCTGTACTTTTTCCTTTATTAGTCTTTTGCTCAATGACATATATTCCATAAAGCAACATTTGCCTCTTTGCAAACTGGAGCTATTAAAAATACTTCAGATAATAGTTTGATTTGAAATTGAAGAACAGTTTTGAGGGTTTCTCCACATCACCTGGCAGAGCTGACATGTTTGTGTGTTAAACTTCTATTTTTTTTAATAATAATGGGTATTTTTTAAAAAATCATTCTTTGGATGTGTTTTTGAATAATGTGGATATTTTTCTGTTTCAATGTTTAGGTATGGTAGTTGATGTTAAAAAGACTAACTGTCACGGCTTATAGTAGTATCCCTTTATAAAGACAAAAACTTTTTTTTTTTTTTTCTTCAATTCAGTAGTATGAAAAACTAATTTAAACAACAACAAAAACCCCACGTATTTAATTGCAGCTTCATGAAGAAAATTTTGAGATTACTACACTACGGATTGATGTCACCACGGATGGAAGACATGCTGAGGTAGAATTTACAACTGATTGGCAGAAAGATGCTGAACGCAGAGATCTCACTATAAATTCTATGTTTTTAGGTAATATTTGTAGATATAACCATGTTTTAAATGGGTTTATCAAAATGCCTTCTTTTCAAGTAAAACCTATATTCTGGAAATGTTGTTCAACTTGAGAAGCTGCATTAATTTCTTTTAAGAGATGTTGTAGCAGATTGCTGAAAAGAATAGACTCTGGAGCCAAAATCCCTAGGGTCAAATTCTGACTCCATCACTCACTAGCCATAAAACAAAAATGTTAATTAATAATGGCTTTCTTTGTACAGCTCTTGTGAGGTTTAAGAGAGTTAATAATTCTAAATGCTTAGAACAGTGCCTGACACATGTACACATTCAGTGAATGCTAACTTCTTAACTGCATCTAAACAACATTAACATTTCAGGGAAGAAAAATGCACACATGCCTGCATGTACACACTTCACAAACACACCCACACCCAGCATCATTCTTTTTCCTCTGCACTATTTTTCATGAATGTGTATTCATTCTTTCCTCTCTTCTGCCGCCCGGACACACAATGGTGAATATCTTCACCACCTTTTTTACTGCTCTGCCTACGTACAATCTCAGATTTCTCTTTTTTAGCATTGTATTCTAGGAATCATCAATAATCAGTCAGAGTTGGCATGTAAGAGGAAACCTATTTATTTTAGCTTATCTTTTTTGTTTAATGAAAGCACTGAGAATTATATGGGGGTGGATATGAATTATGTGAGTGTTTTGTTACCTTACTGATATGTTGTACTTTAAAGTTAAGACAAGCCCTTTAATGTTTAAGGTTTTGGATTAAAAAAGAAAGGATGAAACATCCACTATTCATAACCTGGTTCATAGCAACAGTGTGGTAAAAAGGTAAAGTAATAGGATTTACTTCATGCATGGATGGGCAAGAAGTTTATAAGCTAAAGCGGGATCTCTTGCTGATTACAGCAATGACAAATACAATTTCCAGGGTACCTACTGGGTTCTAGTTACAACCTTAAGTATCTGATATACTTTTTATTTCATTGAACTGTCAGAAAAACTTTATAAAGTAAGAAGCCCACTTGATAGAATAGAGACTCAGAGATGTTAAGTAACTTAAAGTTACAGAGAACCATGATGTTGGCTTGTTTCCAAAGCCAATATATGACCATAGGGAGCCCAACTGGTGCATTGTCTCTCAGTTATGTAGTCAGAGCTCCTGGTATTTATTTCTTCTCATATTACTCATAGAGGAAACTGCTCCAAATAGTGCTATACAGAGAATCTTGTCTAACTGGCTTCTCATAAGCATACTAAACTGAAAGAGAGAAACTAATTTTCTTTTTCAGTGTCATAGTTTATAAAATAAAAGCTATTCTTATTGATAATACCATTTTCTAAACCCTTATAACGTGCCAGGCACTGTTCTAAGCACCTTATTTAATCTTAATCTCCTGACAACCCTATGAAGCAGATAATTCCATTTAACCAATGGTAACTTGCCCAAAGTTGCACAGCTTGTAAGTTATAGGATTAGAATCCCAACTCAGGCAGCCTGACCCCAGAGGTCACATTCTTAACCACTACATTATTGCCTGCAGCGCAACTGTATTTCATATTTTTATTTACTGTATTTTAAAAGGATGATATTCAGAGCAAAACAAAATGCACACCAATATGATGCTTACTAAGCTTTGTGCAATTTTCTGTCCTGGCTCTGTCCAAGCTTGATTGGATCAAGCATTTATAGTTCTGGCATTTATGGTTGGTTACTTTGCTTCCCAAACCCTTATTTTTGCTTTGGTCATATTCCTATGATATTTTCCTCCAAATTTTGATTTTGCTTTAGGTTCCCCATGGAGAGTTACAAGCCTCTTCATTGGGAGAAATAACACTGAGATGGATATACTATATTATTTGCTACTTTGTGATCATATTTGTGTCTATTTACTTATTTCCTTTTTATCTTCAATTTCTTTTATGTCTTTTTGAATCTGAAGCCCTCAAAATTTGCCATATCCATCAAGATGGTTCCCTTTTAAAAATTCCTGTGCATATAAAATTATAACAGCCTGGAAAGAGTTAAGCATTAAGTGTGAACCTACCAATATATTGTTGCTTTGGGGATAAAGAGCATTCAAGTTCAAACAGAACTAAATTGACAAGAGGTATTTTTGATAAGTAGTTGTCAATGCCGCTTTTCTGTGATGCTATTAAGTAAAGTGTCTCATGGGGTCACTGACCTCCCCATTAGGGGTTAGCTAAATGGTATCTATGTGTCAGCTCTAAAGTACTTTTTTTTTTTTAAAAGTCTCCATGGTAACCAACTGTCTTAGTTTGGCTGAGCTTGAAATACTTCCTTGGATGTGTGATTTTCAACTTTAAAACTAGAAGTCTCAGGCAAACCAGTTTGAAGTGGTCACTCTGCTAATTAACACTTAACGTTTTATGTACATATACTGTATATAAAATTAGTTTTATGTCACTTTTTTAGTTCAGCGTATGAGAGAACATTTGCTTGTTACCATTTTTGTGAATGGCTAATAGATGAACATGGTTCAAAATTCAGTTTTAAAGGCTCTAAAGTGAAGTTTCCTGAAGTATAATGAACAGGACTGCCTGTTTTACCACACCCTTGCTAACACTGTTATCAAATGTTTGCATCATTGCCAATCTGAAAAATGCTATCTCAAAAATTTGTATTTCCTGGCCAGGCTTGGTGGCTCATGCCTGTAATCCCAGCTCTTTGAGAGGCTGAGGTGGTCCTGTCACTTTAGGTCAGGAGTTTGAGATGAGCATGGCCAACATGCCAAAAACCTGTCTGTACTAAAAATACAAAAATTAGTCAGGTGTAGTGGCGGGTGCCTGTAATCTCAGCTACTTGGGAGGCTGAGGCAGGAGTATTATCTGAACCTGGGAGGTGGAAGCTGCAGTGAGCAGAGATTGCACCACTGCACTCGAACCAGGGTGACAAAGTGAGATTCTAATTCAAAGGAACAAACAACAACAACAACAACAAAAAAAAAAAAAAAAAAAAAAAAAACAAAAAAAAAAAAAAAAAAAAAAAACAAAGAATTTATGACTAAGGATGAAAATCTTCATTGTTAAAGAGATTTCTGTATTTCCTTTATATGTAGCCTATTTTTCTATTTACGTGGCCTTTTTATTTATAAGAGCTTTATGTTATGGAAATTAGCCATTTGATTTTTTAATATTGACTTAGATATATTTTTCCCCAAGTGTCACTTATCTTAGGACTTTGTGTGTGACAGTGGTTTCTGCCATATAGGCATATTTGGTTTTTTTGTCATTCAGTTATTTATTTGAAAATCCTGTTGTTTTGTGTTTTGTTTTCTGTTTTCTTGCTAAGTAGAGTTTGAAAGATCTTTCCCATTCCAAGAGTATAAAATAATTTCCTCTTTTTTCTTCTGTTAATCCTGTTACATATTTTTTCCATTTTATTTTGGCTATTATTTTCTCACGTTATGAAAATCAGCTTTTATGGTGTCTTGTTGGCCCCACTACTCCTTATATAAGTTTTGCATATTTCTGTTTTAGTTTATTCGTGGATTATCTTTTTAGTTGCAATTGTAAATGCAACTAAACAGACTAAAAGACAATCTTTTATTGTCTTCCATTTGCTAGTTGATATATATGAATACTTACATGTTTTAATAACTCTTCACCTTGCTGAATTCTTACTGTTTGTGATAGTTTTTAGCTGATTTTCTTGTGTTTTCAAATTCTTACTCGCCAACGGTAATTTTTCTCCCTTTTTTAATGAATAGGTTTTGATGGCACTTTATTCGACTACTTTAATGGTTATGAAGATTTAAAAAATAAGAAAGTTAGATTTGTTGGACAAGCTAAACAGAGAATACAAGAGGATTACCTTAGAATATTAAGATACTTCAGGTAAGAATTTTTAAAAATAAAAAATGACAGTTTTAATATCATCACCAGAGCATTAACACTGGTCAAATGAAACACACAGCAGGTCAGTGTACAAAATGGTGACATCCCAAATGTCTGTCTCCAGTGGAGACCTAGCAACCTATGACTTATGAGTGAAAATTACTTAGATACATCATACTCTATTTTCATTCCCAGAACGTACATACACTTACTCCATTTTATGTGATCTTTCCTGTAATTCTGATTTATATCATTTTTTTAAATGCCCATTTTTCTTTGTGATGAATGATATTTCCTCCATTGATCCATTAATTACACAGGTGTTCGAACGCTTACCACAGGTCAATCCCTGTGCTAGGTGCATTAAACATGGTAACGAATGAATGAAAGTGTTTGCCTTCATACAGCTTATGGTCTTAGGTGGTCGTGAAAATCTCTGATGCTTCCCAACAAAATGATTTTGGTGAAAAGAAATACCTGTTATATGGTCAATAAAAAATCAAAGTACAGACATACTCAAAATTTGGATAAACCTGGTAAATACGAAATGCATGAATAGTTTTGTGGGTAGCAGTGATTTTTACATGCCACACACTAACCTCTTTAAAAAACTGAATTGGCTAGTTTGTGTCTAGTAATACTCATTTTTCACTTGATTGGGATTGCTCTCAGAATATTCTATTAACAGATCACGCATATTTTATCAATAAATGTAGTTTCTGTAAACTCGAATATTTGTAGCCTCTGTTACAAATAATAGAACATAGATTAAGACTTAGCTGTATTTGGGTCACTAATCCAAAGTTAGCATTACTTTGGACCACTGATGAATAGAGGGTATTCATTAGAATTTTAGGCGTATGAGTGGTAAAACACATGTACTTTAGGGCTTCCAGTTCTAAGATTCCATGAAATACACTCTAGGGTGTACAACTAGATTAGTGATATTTGAAGATTTTCATTGAAAGTATTAATGTGTACAGACAGGCAAGCTTTGAGGCATTAAGACTGTTAAGGCACTGCAGTCTTGTTTTGATTTGCTGCCTTTACAAGGATGCTGTTTTCATCTCTAAGTGCCAATTCAGTAATTGCATTTGATGACTATTCTCAACGTCTGAGAATAGTCGGGTCAATAAATCAGTGATTTGGAGGTGAGGTTGAGACCCTGAGGTTCTAGTTCTTCCTAACCTTAAGAAGGCTACTTAGATTTTATTCAGTCTTGGGTTTTCTTACCTGGAAGAAAAAAGGTGGTGGAGAAATGACTAGTTGCTTTCTAAGGTCCTTTCTAGACCTAACGAATTCTATGTTGTTTTCATTAAGTATATATATGGGATATTACCAAATAAAAATGAAAAACAGATTTTTCTTGTGACATGCCAGTATAGAGGTGATACCCTGTCAAGATTTTGTCTTCTAGGTTTTATGGGAGAATTGTAGACAAACCTGGTGACCATGATCCTGAAACTTTGGAAGCAATTGCAGAAAATGCAAAAGGCTTGGCCGGAATCTCAGGAGAGAGGATTTGGGTGGAACTGAAAAAAATTCTTGTTGGTAACCATGTAAATCATTTGATTCACCTTATCTATGATCTTGATGTGGCTCCTTATATAGGTGAGAGCAAGTTTTAAAGTGTTTGAATTTTTGGCAATGAAATACCTGGTTTCAGATTTCATAAGGAAAAAATGATTCATTTGGTTGAAGAATTCTTGTTGGAGAAATGGAATATTTTAAAATAAGACAAAGTTTGGGTTATGGGATAGGTAAGTTTTGTCATGAGTAGGGAACAGCTGAAAGACAGCCTATGGTGCTTGTAGTCTTGAGTCAGATCTGGTTTGAAGGAAGCTCAGTCCCTTATCTAATCTTTGCAACCTGGGTTAGTTTCTAACCTAAAAAACGGGTTTAAAAATAATATAGCATCTATCTTAACAGAAAAGCTAAAAGGATTCAGTGAGTTAATATATGTGAAGATCTTTTAGAAGAATGACTTGTACATAGAAGTTTTTCAGTAAATGTTATAATTCATTTTCACAAAGAACAGCGGCATTATATGGTTTCTCACACTTCTGAAAACATGGGTATATTATTTCAAATTTCAATAACATTATTGAATGGGAGATGGATGTTGTTGTATCAATGGAAAGTCAGGAATTTGTGATTGCAAAGAGTATGCCTTGTGTCTGATATCACTATGACCACTACCTCTGGACCTCTTGATGTAGCTTGTTGGAAACGAACATTTTAGAGGTTTTGGGGGTGATGGGAGAGAATAGCGATAATGTATTAGTGGTTTGCCTATAAGTTGGAACATCAGACTGGACCTATATAATGTATCCTATCCTAGTGACAAGGCATTTCTGTATACTAAAACAGTGGCCAGGTTTAGGATATGAGTGGTTTTTTACCTAACTAAAAACAGGTGAAAAATGCTTTTGTCCCTACAGGTTTACCTGCTAATGCAAGTTTAGAAGAATTCGACAAAGTCAGTAAAAATGTTGAAGGTTTTTCACCAAAGCCAATGACTCTTTTGGCCTCATTATTCAAAGTACAAGATGATGTCACAAAATTGGATTTGAGGTTGAAGATTGCAAAAGAAGAGAAAAACCTTGGCTTGTTTATAGTTAAAAATAGGAAAGATTTAATTAAAGCAGCAGATACTTCAGAGCCATTGAAACCCTATCAAGACTGCATTATAGATGTAAGTATATACTAGGCTTGGTCAGAAATATAAAGTGTCTACACTAATTTAGAATTTACATATTTGCAACTTAGGTCTACAATTCTGTGAATGTTAAATGAAAAAATTTATGTTGAGAAGTATTTAAATTTTAGGTTAAGATCGTAAGTGTGTGTGTGTTCATGTGTGATGAAACTAAATGTTTGATTTTGACATGTAGTCTAGGGAACCTGATGCAACTACTCGTGTATGTGAACTACTGAAGTACCAAGGAGAGCACTGTCTCCTCAAGGAAATGCAGCAGTGGTCCATTCCTCCATTTCCTGTAAGTGGCCATGACATCAGAAAAGTGGGCATTTCTTCAGGAAAAGAAATTGGGGCTCTATTACAACAGTTGCGAGAACAGTGGAAAAAAAGTGGTTACCAAATGGAAAAAGATGAACTTCTGAGTTACATAAAGAAGACCTAAAACTGATGGCTACAGAAAAGCAGAGCATTTTTGGTAGGACTCATTTTTCTCCCCTCCCTCTTGATGAGGTTTTAGAAACTATGCCAGAATAAAAGCCAGTTTAGAGGACCTCTTTAGAATGAGGGTCTTATTCTGTGAATTCTATTTCAAGAACTAAACTAAGATCTACCTTTCTTGATCTGATTTGGAATAGTTTCAAGTGAGAAAAACATAGTTGGCTATTATTTTAACCTGTTCAGGGTGTTAAAAAAAATTTGGTTTTGCATAGGGTGGTAGTAAGATTAATCGTAGAAGGTGGTAACTATATTGAATAAAAAAATGTTTATTAATGTTTGCAATTGAAATAACTGGGTTACCTTATACAGTGACTGTCTACAATGTGTCAGTTCTTATCTGAATTCCAAAATAAACTTGTGCTTAAAAGGGAAATAATTGACAAGTTTGCATAAAATATGAATACTAAGTGTGTCTCTAGTTGCTGGCATTCATACATACAGGATTGTTCTAGCAGGCTATGTTTTAGTATGTAGTTGATATTTTTCTGTCACAGTGATTTCTTTATGCATGCAGAGCCTTGGGAAAGTAAAGTAATTAACTTGAGGGTTACTCCTGAGCCTATTATTTTAGTAAAACATTGGTATTATGTGTTTATGTGGTATCTGACAATAAGTATCTGGTGCCATGTACAAGGGTAATATGCCTCTTTTTAAAAGTTAATAAACTAAATGTTAACTTATTTTTCTAATTAAAAGGATACAGCTTACATTATTATATATTCTTTAAAGATTTGTGTCCTAAATGCTTTCATTTGGTAAATATATTTATAATGCAAACTATTATTTCAGCTGCTATACTGATATTTCATAATTCATTTTCCTTCCTGTGTAGCCAGTCAAGACTTCTTTGTACTCTCTGAGCAAATAGTAATATTGGACCTTGATAAAACAATTTTGTAGAGTGTATTTCTAAGAGGAAGTGTAACAGGGGCTATGATGCAAGAAAGGGAGCCTCAGAAATGACTGCGCACAGGTCAGTAATTACATGCATTATAAAATACTTTGGAATATTTAAGTACTGCCAAAATACGGATTTAGACCCAACATCATAGAATACATGCTATTTCTATATAGAAAGTATGCAAATTTAGCTATATTGGAGGTCTGGTTTTGTCATATGCATGTTTTTACATCTCAGAAAATTGTATTTGCTAGTAAACTGTGTGGGACATTGAAAGTACACCTTTTCAGGGGAAAAGGTGACTCATTCTAACTGGTTTAGATTTCATCCTATAGAGATGTACTATGCTACTGAAAAGAACTTCCTGGTATCCTCTTAGCGTAAGTTTTAGTGCAGTGTAAGAACTATATGAAACCAGTGAAGTCATAGAAACCCAAAATATTAAAAGTAGTTAAGTAGAGCTTAGAAAAAATAAGGCAAGGGCATATCCTGAACAGCAGCATTGTTGAATTGCTTTTCATTTACTCTATTTACGTAAATAAATAAGCAATTTGATACTCAACTGATTCCACTCAAGGCGTGTTTGGGCAAAACAAATTTTGGCCTCATACTATTGCCATAGTTTGTACATTTAACCTGACTGGTTTTATTGATAGTCCTTTGCTACTTTAAAGTTGTTACACAAATGTGAAAGGACCCACTAAACCCTTGAATATATAAGCAAAGAGGTCCGTGGCAAAGCAGTCTTTTTAGGACTTTACATTATTTGAACAAAGAACATGTTTAGTTTCACCCTTAAGGTTTACTTAGATTTTCTCCAACTTACATTGAATAAAATAGTATCATGTCTAGCCTGTGTGAAGGGGACATGTTTTGGCATCTTTTTCCTATGGTAGTTCTAGTTCAAATTAATGTTTGAAAAATAGCTTCTGTAGGGAACAGAATAAATGGGCTTATAGTTCAAATACTGAGGAAATACACAGAAAATACTATTTTTTACTAACGGGCACATAAGGGAAATGACAACTATTTGTGAGCTCAACACTGTATACGCTAATATTTTTAAATTAGAGTTAAAATTAGATTTTACAAATCAGTATTGAACAAAGCCCTTTTAGAATAATATACATTGCCTTGCCTCTTTTGAAAAGGAACATGTAGTAATCAGAGCATTGGTACAGATAAGCTGTCCCATCCATCAGGATCAACTGATTGATTAGTTTCACATTGTAGGAGTTTATGATATTCTACACAGGAAGTAATCTCATCATTTCCAAAGATGTCTTTATGTTGCATCAATGACATGCTACAGACATACCAGATTCCACAGGATAATGGCACCAAGCTATCCAAGTAGATATTTCTGAAACTAAATTTGTATTCTAGACTGCTGCTTATCCTTTCCAAGAGTATACTTTAAGTTTCAGATACAGCTTAACTTGAAAACTGCAACCCTCCAAGTAATATTAAGTATATATCAGAGGCAATAATTTCCAAAGCAGATCTGATTTTAGAATAACAAATTTGTTAGATAAATTTATCTCTAGCACATCTGTTTACAAGCAAAGTATTACTTTGTCTGGACTTATTTCATCTTCTGTGTCTGGGATTGTAGGCAACAGAGCAGATCGCGTTAAGCCCCAAAATTTTTGAGGTGACATGTCTTTTTTGGTGGCTGTAAACTTCCATCCAATATGGCTTGCACAGATCTTACATTGGGCAACAGTCCAGGCATACCTAAAAAATTAAGGAAAAGTATCAGCTAAGGAAACAAACACTTCTTTTACTCCAATCCTATAAAACCTATTATGATGAAGACAGACCTTAGAGACACATTCTAAGTTGAGATTTGATCTATACAGTTCCCTGAAAACTCGTAATACCTAATTTGGATACATTCTATGGTAATACATCAGTCTGTTACATATTATTTTGTAATATATATGACTTTTATGCGCTTAAGCTATGTTTACATTTTTCCTCCACTCCACAGAAGTAAAGTAATCTTAGGAATATCTTTATACAAATTGCTGGTTGCCAAGATCACATTCTAAGTTGCACTGGCTTCTCCTTTGTTGCAGTTAGTTAGAAAACAGCAACCACCTGCAGAAATATGTACTTCTGTCTGAGTCAAACTGGATGGAGCAGGAAGGACATGTTGTCTCATAAAATATTTGAAAATTACTATTCTAAAATAAGAATGATTGTCACAGAATGCAACCAGAAATACAAACCATGGCATTTCTGCTCTAATTTTGTCCATTTGTATACTATGCCACATCTACTATTTATAGTAACAAATTTATTCTAGTTTTAGTCATCACATAGGATGCCAAATAAGCTAGATAAGGCAATCCAAGTGATATGGTCCTAACTCCAGAGTAGCAAGTAATCCCTACGTAGCATCCCTCTTTGAAAACTGAAGATAGTACAGCTGAGGGAACTGAACAGGCTCCCAGGATCATACTTCAAAATCATTAAGGTGAAGCAAAAAAAAAAAAAAAAAAAAAAAANAAAAAAAAAAAAAAAAAGGCAAACTAGAAGAAAAGCAGGATTTAATATGTTCTGCATCTTCTTAGTCTACCATTGCTTGATAAACATTCTCCAGTTTTACATTACTACAGAATATGATCCAGATGTAATGTTTTACTGGGTCATAAAACAGTTGATTTTCAGGATGACATGACAGAAAAAAAGAGTTTTGGATTTAATTTGAGGACAACTGCAGTTGCCAACCTTTCCCTGCACTAATAGAAATAACTTTTCATTCAGTGATACTATATAAAAATACAAAAAAAAAAAAAAGTATAACAACAGGTGTGTCTAGCTATTTGTGGAATGAAGAACATTTAAATAAAATGTAATTTTGTCTCACTCTGTCACCCAGGCTGGAGTGCAGTGGCACAATCTTGGCTCGCTGCAACCTTTGCCTCCCGGGTTCAATTAATTCTTGTGCTCAGCCTCCTGAGTAGCTGGGATTATAGGCGTCTGTCACCACACCTGGCTAATTTTTGAATACAATTATTGATTTCATTGTCTACTTGTTATTAAAAAGATTGTAGCAAACTCTGCTTAGGATTCTGGGTTTTTCTACCCAATTAAGGTTAAAAAAAAAAAAAAAACCACCAGCATATTATTACCCAGGAAACCAGCTGTGTTCCGTAGAAGGCCGGCCTATCAGATTCAAGTTGCAAGCCTTATACACAGTGAGTGTCTCATGCACATATCCATGAGGATTCACATAAGCTGCCATCGGCCCACATAAGGATAAACTAAAAGAAAGAACATGGAGGACAAGTCAAAATGAGAAGTCTAATCCTATTAAATGGTTAGAATTTTCTTGAAGTTCACCAAGAAATTAGTTTTTAATCTTTTAGTTTTACATAATACCAGGATCTTAGTACAAAAATGGGGTAGGGAATACAGCTGGCAGACCCGTTTTGTTCAGTCTAAACGTTTTATGTGATGACTCAAAAGACATTTTAAAACCCTCCTCAAGACAAGACAGACATTGTCAAGAAGACAAAACTCAAATGCTTCTAAAGGAGTCTGACAGTGTAAATGCAATGCAAAGGTCCCGTGTGGTCATTTTGAGACAATTGATAATTGAGTAGAAAGCAGTTTCCTTACTTTCTTGATAATTCTGATGAATCTGTCATAAAATGATTTTCAAACACCATTATATCAGAGCATCAGTAAGTGTTCCGAATCATGTCCTACTTTGACTCTGATTACTTTAACAACTGATTACTGACACGTAATTTCTGAGGCATCTACGTTAGGGCTTAATAGAAGACAACTAATATGCCTATGTCTAAGATACTCTAATATACAGATTGTCAACAAGAATTGGGGAAAAAAGAATTGCTCAGTTGTTTTACTTTATCATGCTCATTACCCGTGAGTAATCCCTGACATACATTGTTGCTCTGAGTACCCAATCTGGAAGACGATCTTACCAAAGGTGAGCTAATTCCCTGTATTTCATTTGCTGAGCATTTGTAACTTTTAAGTATTGGAGGAAAGTATATGGAAAACAGAAATACAGTCTTGATTATAATTCTGGTAAGGCAAGTATACTAAAAATGTAATAAAGAACTTACCTGAATATTTCATTTTTGGTTGTTATTTCTGTTTCTTGACATTGTTTACAGCAAAGGGAAGTACACTAAAAAATTTGAGAGAAAAATTATTGGGCAAAACTGGCATTCGTTTTATCATGTAATCACATAGATCATCAAGAAACTTCTGAAGATATTGCTGCCTCTGAGTATCACATTCTCCTTCCAACCATTCAAAAACTTAGTTTTAAAAATGTAGGAAGAAAAGCACTGAAACTGAGATCTGCCAGGTATTTACATATAAAACTAAAGGACTTTCTAGGGTAAAGGAATAGTGATATATAGCCTCAGGTATTAGAAATCAAGTATTTTTCACGAAGTTGATAAATGTATTGATAGTTGACAGCACAGAACAATCTGACTTTATCTGTAAGAGCCAAACTGCATGACTACATTACTGGACTCTATTTTAGCTCCATTGGTCCCAACAGAGCATCCTAGTTCTCCAGCCTGACTAAACATGGGCATCAAAAACATAATCACTTTACTCACTTTATTCATAATGTCTAATTCACAGCGAAGTCGCTGGATAGCACTGCCAATTTTAAGGAGCTGAATTCTCAATACATCATCAATAGGAAGACAAGCAGCTACTCTGTAAGAAAAATCTTAAACACATAGTTTTTCAAGTTTTAAACTTATGAGTCAGATAAGCATCAGATTACTC